AAACAGAGAGAAACATAACCCAGCATTTAAATTGAGATGGAACACTCAGGAAGACAGAAGCAGTGAGTTTTATCAAAGAACCAAACATGAAGATTTTCAATAGTACCAAACACCACAGCATGTTTAGGCAGATAACTAGATGCTCGTCGGAGCTGCCATTTAGCATTGGTTTTGATCTTACTGAAAGAGAGGGTTCAGGGAATTAGCAGAGAAGGACCCAAACAGAACAATTTCCAGTCTATTTTCCCATGCACTATATAGCACCTGTAAGTTCTCCTATATCATGCATGCATAAACTTCTGCCAACATTATTTACTATCCACTTTCTAATTAGGTCTTGCTACTTCCAGCTTCCAGAATTTACCACTTGCTTCCAATCTGCTGCTGCTTTCCCACCTGCACTTCACGTATTATAATCCTACTTCTCCACCAAGGTTCACCTGATATGATACTTCCAGTGCAAAAATCTTTCTTTTTTCCTTCAAGTCTGTATTCATTTTATTCTCCATATTTTCACACTGCATATTTGTACTTTTTTATATCACAGCTTGAGTTGTCTACTAGTTAACAACATAACTCTTCTTCTCCCCACTAGATTATGAGCTTCTTGTCAGGAGCCATTTCTAAAATCTAGGAACTCCCAATCCTGTGCTCATTCTACATATAGTCACTTCCAATACCCTGTATACTGCAAATGCTTGATTTAAGGTTAAACAGAACTGAAATTTGAAAGATCAATGCAGCTTGTATTAAGAATCTAGCTCATTTTGTCAGAAACCCAAAAGATGTAGGACATGACCAGTGAATTATGAATATTCAGCCACTACTTTTACAATCAAGACACATACAATTCATATCTGATAAGTCGCATGCATTATAAAAGCATGTTATTATCACAGAAACTAGGAAAAAGGAAACTTTTTAATTTAGAAGGAGGACTAGAAAAATCCTCAAGAAAGAGATCTCATTTGAGATCAAGAATGAGTAAGACTGGGGTGATAGAGATTGAGAAGAACATATTTTAGATGAGGAAACATAAGCAGGTTAATTAATTAATGAAGCAGGTGCACAGAGGAAGAGTGAAGGACTGCACATGGCCAAGAGCCACGAGGTGAGCAGAAGAAAGCAAAGTGAAAGGCATAATACAGAGAGACCGTGCTGCATCAGGGCTGACAAAATAAGGGGAAATTATTTGTTTAAAAACAAATCAACAACCATGTCAAATACAAAAGCAAGGGAGCATTATCTTTTTGTCATCAGATAAATATTTATTGAGGGCATCAAAGTGTCACATATTATTCAAGTCTTAGGAATAAAGGGATGAACATAACAGAGATATCTCTTCCTTCTTAAGCTCATAGAGGTTCGGGGAAGAGTGATGATTACAGATATACTAACAAATATATAGCATCCTGAAGAGTAATTATTAGAATTAAGGGGGAATCCCTGGTGGCTTAGACAGTAAAAAATCTGCCTACAGATTTCAAACCCCTACAGGATTTGATCCTGGGTCTGGAAGATCCCCTGAAGAAGGGAACAGCAACCCACTCCAGTATTCTTGCCTGGAGAATTCAATGGACAGAGGAGCCTGGCAGGCCACAGCCCATGGGATTGCAAAGAGTCAGACTCGAGCAACTAACACTTTCACTACGTTGTTTTGAAAGATAGCTCGGACGGTAAAGCATCTGCCTGCAATGCTGAAGACCTGGGTATGATCCATGGGGTGGGAAGATCCCCTGGAGAAGGAAATGGCAACCCACTCCAGTATTCTGGCCTGGAAAATTCCACAGACAGAGGAGCCTTGTGGGCTTCGTCCACGGGGTCGCAAAGAGCTGGACACAACTGAGCAACTAACACACAGCATAATAAAGATAAATGTAGCTGCTGTAGACTTAAAAGAAAAAAAGAACAATCTCAGTAAATCATAGTGAGAATATACAATATTAAAAACATCAAAGTTTCCAAAACTGTTTTTGTGGACATGGGGCCAAATTCAACTCACAGGGGGAAGAAGTTGATACTGGCTGAATCTTCTACACCTCCAAATTCAATCTTCTTTCATAAAACATATTAATCTTATAAACATATTAATTCCTTCAGTAGGAGGTGAAACCAACTGACTCTTCTGCACATTTTACATTTTACCCAAAGGATGCAAAAAATCATAAAAGTTATGTCAGTTAAGTAAGATTCAGCAAGATGATCTCAAATTACCTTACTGACTTTAATGAAGGTCTTTTGAAGTGAAGTGTAGTGAAAGTCGCTCAGTCATGTCTGACTCTATGCAACCGCATGGACTATACAGTCCATGGAATTCTCCAGGCCAGAACCTGGAGTGGGTAGCCTTTTCCTTCTCCAGCGGATCTTCCCAACCCAGGGATCAAACCCAGGTCTCCCGCATAGCAGGCAGATTCTTTACCAGCTGAGCCACCAGGGAAGCCATTTACTTTGATCTAGTTTCTTCATGCAGGCTGCCACCAAGTCATGTCTGATTCTTTGGTACCCCATGGACTATAGCCCACCAGGCTCCACTGTCCATGGACTTTTCCAGGCAAAAATATTGGAGTGGGTTGCCATTTCCTCCTCCAGGGATCTTCCTGAACCATAGGTCACCTTTAATTAAAGTTAGGTGGTGTATGTCATAGTGACATAATCTCCCCATAGAAATATAGTGAAGTCATGGCAAAGAAATCCCTTTAGCATTTGATGGAACATTTAAATTTGCATTGTATGGAAAATAATTACTGACACTGGCCAATTAGTAGCCTTCCAGTAATTTATTCTTTTAATCTCAAATGCTTTAGAGGTTTATATTCTGAAATTCTAGTAGACCTAAACCATAAGGCAAACAAGGAGGTTTTACAAAACACTTCTCAGTGAAATCAAGGTAAGAGGAATATTCTAGTTCACTTTTACTTTTAATATTAAGGTCAAGTAATATTTATTTTCTGAATTATTGAGCATTTTTGTTGAAGTTAGATTTCACCTATTTAGTTATCATTCTAGCTATTCTCAAAACTGATTATGGAAACTAGGATGAGAAAATTTATTGCAATTTATGCTGACCTCTCTGGTTATATGGTAGAACTTCAAAACACACAGGTAAGGACAGAATATAATTCTGTTATATCATTCAAGACTGCATGCAGAAAGTTGTTTCTATCTTAGCTGTACAATAAAGTATCATATGTTTAATATTTTAAAACAAAAATTAAAGGAAACTACCCACCGGTGCTGGGAGTTTGGAATTGAAATAAACCATTTTGACCAAAGACTTTATATAACTGAAACTCAGTCAAGATGTTCTTATAGATCACTAAATAATAACAGAACATAGCCTTTAAAAGAAAAACAAAATCTGTTCTCATAAACCATATTAAGAGTTAAAGGATTTTCTCTCTTCCCAACTGCTAGAAAACTAAAATATAAAGGCATGGCTTACTTTCATTTATTAGCATTAATATACTGTGACATACTTCAGAAAATCTTACATAAATTTCCCAGGAAGGAGTAAAATAGCAGATACACTAATTCAGGTAAAAGAGACACAAATTTTTTTAAACAATGAATTTCAATAATATTCTTTGTAAACTGCTCTTCAAAATTAAATCTCAATTTTCAGACACCAAATAGTTCATTAAGGATGTTTGGTAGGATACTGAAAACAAATTCACCCATCCTAGGTCACTGAACTGGAGGTAGGGCTGGAATCAATCAGGTTCTTTTCCCATAGCTCTCCATAGCTATTACAGAAGTATAAGTCACAGGAAACCTCAAAATATCCAGTGTATGACTCAGGGAGCTCAACCCAGTATGCTGTAATAACCTAGAGGGATGCTGCAACAACCTAGTGGGAGATGGGAGGGAGGTTCAAGAGGGAGGGGCATGTGTGCACCTATGGCTGATGCATGTTGATGTATGGCAGAAATCAACACAATATTGTAAAGCAGTTATCCTCCAATTAAAAACAAATAAATGTAAAGACAAGAAATTGTGCATGCACACATGAAACAAAAACAATGCTAGATTTTACATAAACAATTTTAGTTTGTGTTGAGTATATAAGACACTGTTGATCATTCAACATATGGAGATTGGTATAGAGTCTGGGGCACTGAGTAAATTTAAGTATCATTACTTAAAAATTATGCTTTATATACAGGAGGAAAGGATTTAGATATCTTGGATACTTCAAAAGAATAACGGATTTAGCATGACACTGGGAAAAGGCACCAAAGAAGTGATAATCTATGGGTATTTCTCTTCTTAGCTTTCCCAGGTAATTTTATTTAAAGAGGAACAGGCCTCTCCTTAATCCTTAGTGATTTTCATAAAAGTCCTAAGATATAAATTAAGCATATCTGTGTACACATTTTAAACATACCCTCTACTGGGAGGGCACATGAAAAATATTGCTGAATTTAAAATATATATATAATGCATACACACACACACACACATATATATATAAAATAACTAGATATTTATTTTAAGGACCTCTAATATAAAAACTGAAGTACATTATTTGGGAATACTGAGTCAAATATGAGTGTCCTACATATGTATTGGAGAAGGAAATGGCAACCCACTTCAGTATTCTTGCCTCTTCCATGGATAGAGGAACCTGGCGGGCTATAGTCTACAGTTGATGGGGTCACAAAGAGCCGGACACAACTGAGCACACATACACACACACAGATAAATATATTACTCTTCATAAATTCATAAAGACAAGCCTTTTCCATTGTAAACATTTTCCATAGAATTACCAAAATATTCTTGGGAAATCTGAGTTTCAGAGTCAAGATCATAAAAGCTGACATTTACATAGAAATGAATGTCCCATAGAGGAATGTGTCCCTGTTTCCCAGAGGAAATAGGGGCAGCTTGAGGAAGAGCTCCAATCTTTATCAAAAGAGAATTTTGAAGAGAAAATTATTGACATTATAATTTCAAGTCTTCTTATCTCCATAATTCCTATGTCAACAGAAAAGGTGGATATGACTGAAGATAACCACTCCTTGACAACAGAGTTTATCCTGACAGGATTTGCAGATCATCCAGAGCTGAAGATCCTTCTGTTCCTGGTGTTCTTTACCATCTATCTGATCACCATGGTGGGGAATCTTGGTTTGGTGGCACTGATCATTACAGAGCATCGTCTTCACACACCAATGTACATCTTTCTGGGTAACCTCGCTCTGATGGACTCCTTTTGTTCCAGTGCCATTACCCCAAAGATGCTACAGAACTTCTTTTCTAAAGACAGACTGATTTCCCTTTATGAATGCATGGCACAATTTTATTTTCTCTCCCTTGCTGAAACTGCAGATTGCTTTCTCCTGGCAGCAATGGCCTATGATCGCTATGTGGCCATCTGCAAACCACTGCAGTACCACACCATGATGTCAAAGAAACTCTGCATTCAGATGACTGCAGGGGCATATGCAGCTGGAAACATTCATCCCGTGATTCATGTAGGGTTTCTGTTTAGACTAACTTTCTGTAGGTCTCATCAAATCAATCACTTTTTCTGTGATGTCCTTCCATTATACAGACTCTCCTGTGTGGATCCTTTTATCAATCAATTGATGGTACTCATCTTTGCAGGGTCAGTTTTAGTCTTCACTATTACCATAGTAATAATCTCTTACCTTTTCATTCTTTTCACAATTTTCAAGATGAAATCCAAAGAGGGAAAAGGCAAAGCCTTATCTACATGTGCATCCCATTTTCTCTCTGTCTCAATATTCTACGGTTCCCTTCTTTTCATGTATGTTCGGCCAAATTCAGGTAATAAAGATGATAAAGATATACCTGTTGCTATTTTTTATACTCTAATAATTCCCTTGTTAAACCCATTTATTTATAGTCTAAGAAATAAGGAAGTAATAAACACTACAAAAAAAATATGGAGAAGAATTTATGACATGAGGAAACAAATATTGTCCAATATGCACAACTGATTTTAACGTCATCAAACTTTTCAAAATGTAATGTCATTAAACTTTTTTCAAAATCAATAATATTGAGAAAGTAGAAAATAGCCATGTCATATATAACATTAAATTACTAAAACATAACGATGTATTATTTAAATACAGAAGGTAAAAGAAGAGAATGTGGTAAATATATTTCAAAATCTAAGCTACAAGCTTTCATCAGGAATGAACTAAGTACCCTTGAGGTAATAAATATGTGAGACTATGTTTCAGAGTATAATAAGTCACAATTTTCAGCAAATTCTACAAATGCTAAGAATTGAAGTCAGTACATATAAGGTCACCTTCATTTAATATTTTTGGCATATTTCAGGAATTCCAAGGTGTAACTTTGAAACTCCCCCATATCCTAAGTTCTCAATTATTAACTAGCCTGTTCTTAAGAAAACTGTGTGACAGAAGTAATCTTTGTATTTCATTTAATTCTGAATTTTGGGTCTGTTCAACAGGTTTTATTTGAATATGAAATCACACAGAACATATATTTGCTAATCAATTTCCTCTTTATTATTAGTCAATTTTCTCTAAGCTTTCTGAAACAAAGTATTATAAATTTGTGATTCCAAAATCTATACTTGAATATGATGCTATTTATACTGACATCACTGTGGATTTGATATTTCTAAATAGCTTGGTTGATCATCATGTATGACAATCCAACACATAAATATATTCTCAAAAAAAGTTTTTCTCACTAATATTACTTGTCTTGCTTGTTATTTGGAATACCACCAACTTAGACTAATTCCAAGATAAATTATTATACATTCATGGTGTTAACAAAAAGCATCAGGTTCTGATAAAGCAAAAATGAGGCAGAAAATAATAAAAAACTAAATATCAAAACAATAATGAAATTATTAAATGTATTAAATTTAATTTTAAATAAAAAATTTAAAGTTATTAAATGCAATGATTATTAAATTATTAATTATTAAATTTAGTAATTTAAAATGTAAGACAATATACTCTATAATGTTTAGTGGAAAACACTGAAAGAACACTCTTTGACATAAACTGCAACAAGATCTTTTTCAATCCATTTCCTCCAGTAAGAGACATAAAAGCAATAAGCAAATGGGACCTAACTTAACTCAAAAGATTTTTGCACAGCAAAGGAAACCATAAACAAAATCAAAGTACAACCCACAGAATAGAATAAAATATTTGCAAATGATGTGACTGACAATGGATTAACCTCCAAAATTTACAAACAGGTTGTGTAGCTCAATATTAAAAAAAGAACAAACGCCCAATCAAAAAATAGGCAGAAGACCTAGACAGACATTTCTCCAAAGAAGACATACAAATGGCTAAGAGACACATGAAAAAATGCTCAACATTTCTAATTAATAGAGAAATGCAAATCAAACTACAATGAGGTAGTTTTGGATGATGGCCACACATGGCCATCATCCAAAAGTCTACAAACAATAAATGCTGGAGAGCATGTTTCAAAAAGGGAAACTTCCTACACTGTTGGTGGAAATGTGAATTGGTACATTCATTATGGAAAACTGTATGGGGGTTCCTTAAAAAACTTGAACTAGAGTTATCCCTCTACTGAGCATATGTCTGAAGAAAAACAAGGTTCAATAGGATATATGCACCCCAATGTTGACTGCAGTGCTATTTACAACAGCCAAGACATGGAAACAACCTAAATGTCCATCCATGGAAGAATGGATAAGCAAGATATGGAACACATATACCACAGGATATAATTCACCATAACAAAGAATGAAATAGGCCATTTTCAGCAACATGGATGGACCTGGAGATTTCACAAAGTGAAGTAAGTCAGACAGAAAGAGATAAATATCATGTAAAACCACTTATATGTAGAATCTTTTTAAGAAAATGATACAAATGAACTTTTTTACAAAACAGAAACTGACTTAGAAGACAAATATTGTTACCAAAAGAAAAATGTTGAGGAATGGATAAATTGAGAGATTGGGGTTGACATGTACACTCTAACTATTTTAAAACAGTTAACCTACAAGGACCTACTATTTAGCACATGGACCTCTGCTCAATATTCTGCAGTATCCTAAACAGGGCCCTTCATGGATCACTGCCTTGTGGTGAATGGGCTTGTGTAACTCAATGAAGCTATCAGCCACACAAGGCAGGGCAACCCAAGATGGATGGGATATAGTAGATAGTTCTGAGAAAATGTGGTCCGCTGGAGGAAAGAATGATAAACTACTCCAGTAGTCTTGCAGCGAGAACTCCATGAACAGTATGAAAAGGATATAACACCAAAAGCTGAACCCCAGGTTGGAAGGTGTCCAGTATGCTACTGGAGAAGAGTGGAGGGAAATTATCAATCGCTGCAGAAAGAATGAAGTGGTTGGGCCAAAGCAGAAATGACACTCAGTTGTGTATACGTCTGGTGGTAAAAGTAAAATCCGATGCTGTAAAGAACAATACTGCAAAGGAACCTAGAATGTTGTCCATGAATCAAGGTAAACTGGATGTGGTCAAGCAGGAAATGGCAAGAGTGAACATCAGCATCTTAGGAATCAGTGAACTAAAATGAACAGGAATGGGCAAATTTAACTAAGATGACCATTATATCTACTACTGTAGGCAAGAATCCCTTAGAAGAAATGGAATAGCCTTCACAGTCAACAAGAGTCTAAAATACACTACTTCAGCACAATCTCAAAAGCAACAAAATGATCTCAGTTCATTTCCAAGGCAAACCATTCAACTTCATAGCAATCCATGTCTACGCCCCAACCACTAACGTTGAAGATGAATTTGACCAGTTCTATGATGACCTACAAGACCTTCTAGAACTGACATCAAAAAAAAAGATGTGCTTTTCATCGTAGGGGACTAGAATGCAAAAGTAGGAAGTTAAGAGGTACCTGGTGTAGTAGGCAAGTTAGGCTTTGGAGTACAAACTGAAACAGTGCCAAAGGCTAATAGAGCTCTTCCAATAGAATGCACTGGTCACAACAAACACCCTTTCAACAACTCAAGAAATGACTCTACACTGGGACATCACCAAATATTCAATACTGAAATCAGACTGATTACATTCTTTGTAGCCGAAGAGGGAAAAACTCTAAACAGTCAACAAAAACATGATCTGGAGCTAACTGTGGCTCAGATAATCTGCTCCTTAAAGAAAAATTCAGGCTTAAACTAAAGAAAGTGGGGAATGACACTAGGCCATTCAGGTATGACTTAAATCACATCTCTTATGATTAAACAGTGGAAGTGACAAATAGATTCAAAGGATTAAATCTGGGAGACAGAGTGCCTGAAGAACTATGGACTCAAGTTCATAACACTGTACAGGAGGCAGTAAATAAAACCATCCCAAAGGAAAAAAAAAATGCAAGAAGGCAAAGTGGTTGACAGAGTAGGCTTTACAAATAGCTGAGGAAAGAAGAGAAGCCAAAAGCAAGGGAGAAAGGGAAAGATATGCCCAACTGAATGCAGAGTTACAGAGAATAGCAAGGAGAAATAAGAAGGCTTTCTTCAATGATCAATGCAAAAAAAAAAAAAAAGAAAACAATAGAATAGGAAAAAACAGAGATCTCTTCAAGAAAACTGAAGATATCAAAGGAAGAGTTCCTGCAAGGATGGGCATGATAATGGACAGAAATGGTAAATACTTAACAGAAGTAGAAGAGATTAGGAAGAGGTGGCAAGAATATAGAGAAGAACTGTACAAAAAAGGTCTTAATGACCCAGATAACCATGATGGTGTGATTACTCACCCAGAGTCAGATATCCTGGAGAGCGAGGTCAAGAGGGCTTAGGAAGCATTACTACCAATAAGGCTAGTGGAGGTGAATTTCAGCTGGAATTCTAGCTTACTGAACTATCTAAAATATTAAAAGATGACAGTGTTAAAGTGCTGCACTCAATATGTCAGCAAATTTGGAAAACCCAGCAATGGCCACGGGACTGGAAATGGTCAGTTTTCATCCCAATTCCAAAGAAGGGCAGTGCCAAAGAATGCTCAAACTACCGGACAATGGCAATCATGTTCCATGCTAGTAAGCTAATGCTCAAAATCCTTCAAGCTAGGCTTCAGCAGTACTTGAATCGAAAACTTCCAGATGTACAAGCAGAGTTTAGGAAAGGCAGAGGAATCAGAGATCAAGTTGCTATTGCTAACATTCATTGGATCATAGAGAAAGCCAGGAAATTCCAGAAAAGCATCTACTTCTGTTTCACTGACTATGCAAAAGCCTTTGACTCTGTGGATCACAACAAACTGTGGAAATTTTTAAAAGATGAGACTACCAGAGACCATCTTAACTGTCTCCTGAGAAACCTCTTTAAGGGTCAAAAAGCAACAGTTAGAACTTGAAGTGAAGTGAAAGTTGCTCAGTTGTGTCCGACTCTTTGTGACCCCATGGACCATAAATCCATGGAATTCTCCAGGCCACAATACTGGAGTGGGAAGCCATTTCCTTCTCCAGCAGATCTTCCCAACTCAGGGATTGAACCCAGGTCTCTCACATTGCAGGCAAATCCTTTACCAGCGGAGCCACAAGGGAAGCCCAGTTAGAATCTTACATGAAACAAAAGACTGATTCAAAATTGGGAAAGGAATATAACAATACTGTATATTGTCACCCTGTTTATTTAACTTATATGCACAGTACATCACGTGAAATGCCAGGCAGGATGAATCACAAGCTGAAATCAAGATTGCCAAGAGAAGTATCAACAATATCAGATATGCAAATGGAAAATAGATGGGGAAGCAATGGAAACAGTGACAAACTTTATTTTGGGGGGCTCCAAAATCACTGCAGATGGTGACTGAAGCCATGAAATTAAAAGATACTTGCTCCTTGGAAGAGAAGTTATGACCAACCTAGACAGCATATTAAAAAGCAGAGCCATTACTTTGCCAACAAAGGTCCGTCTAGTCAAAGTTATAGTTTTTCCAGTAGTCATATATGGATGTGAGAGTTGGACTATAAAGA